CTCCAATATGTCACCCTTTCCAAAGTAACTGGGCGTCATATTCGCTGCATTACCTTTTGACCCGCGCATTGATCTATGTGCAGAGGCTGCTCTGCAGTCCCTCCCGAGGTTCTGGTTATGGGAAATTGCGACAGAAAGCACGCAGATGTTCAATAAATCTTTATTTGAATGATATTAATTAATGATTAGTGTTTATCGTCTGCCAAAGGCACAGCTTTTGAACGGTAACGGCGTTGCTAAGCGACACAGTTTGTGCTAAATTGCTTGGGGAACTCTAATCTGCCATAGTCCTATAATTAATGCTGTAATATAATTTGAGATGCACCCATCGGCGTCAATTTGGGCAAAGCAAGGTATGGCACTGTGACAGCTTCTGTTCCTATAGTGAGTGCAATTTTGATCTTTAAGTACATAATGAGATATCACGCAAAAAAATTGGAATCCACAACAAACGGCGTTATGTGATGCCTGTCAGTCAGATCCTAATGCTCCAATTTGCCATTAGTTTCATGGATGTTGATGGTAAATGACATATTCGGGGATTTATAATAAAAAAAAACTGGGTGTCTAAGCGCCGCAGTGCAGAAGCCCAAGGAGGCAGCCAAGGCACGTGACAGATATAGGCTCGGGGGTCATTGTGCGCACTGGGGCCGGCTGATCCGCAGGTCGTGCGCCACTGACGCGTCGGTATCCCCTCGATCACACATCATAAAGAATCAGATCCATATAGAACATCCCATCCAGGCTGTCGTCCACTCACAGAATTATGATCACTGACAGACTATTAGCAAGAGGCTTACCTGGCCGTGGCCGACGTGTATCATAGGTGCTCGTGACGCAAGATGGTTGATGGCCCTAATGCTGCCTTCAAGTACCCGTCTGCTAAATCCGAATGGGGGGGGGTCAAGTGCGTTTGGTCAAGTGCTTTTGGTTGGCAGTGATGAAAAAATTACTATTAATATATTAATTAATAATGTTAAAGTCAGTTTTGGCGACACTTGGCTGCATGGCGCAGAGCTGTATGCAGCAGCTGTAAGGCGGCATAAACTCAATGAGACAGGACTATGGACATGGTATTGTGTAATAGTTCAAGTGCTCCATTGTGTGCATTTTATTTCACACATTTTCTTTACATAGAGGCCTACATATCACACATTCCCCTCAGGCTACTACCAGTGGTGGAAAGATTCAAAGCACATTCCCTGAAGTTCAATTTTGAGGAGTATGTTACTTTATGCTACATTTCTAAGGTAAATATTGTACTTTTTTACACAACTAAATTTGTTTAACAACTATGCAGATGAAGGTTGTACAAACATATGATCAGTTTATAAAATATAAGGCTTTGTAGGAGATTATACTACATAGATTAGTTCAAAGCGCCACACCAGAATCCCCAGGATCACTGGAAGATATAAGGGCTTGGAGGTTCTAGACGGTCTGCAAGCTCAATAAATGTAGAAAAGGACTTGCCGAAGTACTATTCAAAATGTCTATGTATGTTTAAATCAATTTTGTGATTACTGTTAAATAAGCCAAAAGTTTATTGCTAAGTTGATGTTCTACCTCTGTTTAAGTAAGTTATTTATTTATTGTTTTGTATATGTTGTTTCCTACCATGTCTTGAGTAAACAGACAAATCCAAATCTATATTTTTCTTAAAGAAAAAACAACTAGCTTAACTATTAAAATACTGCTTATAAATGTGTCCATCAGCAGAAACCATTGTGCTGCATAATCAGTACTTTCATAGTTGGTACTCTTAGTACATTTTTTTTGATGATGCTTTCACTGAAATACGATTTTGAATGCAGGACTTCTACTGTGGAGCATTTTTATATGGGAGGATTGCCTCTTTTACTTAAGCATAGGATCTGAATACTTCTTCCACCACTGGCTACTCCATAATCATCATTAAAATTACTGTTAGAATGCGATTTTGTGTGTGAATCTGTAACACGCACCAGCGCCTCAAACACCTCTCACATAATGCATGTGTTATTTGTTGCCACTGCCAAATTCAGGCATAATTCAGGTGCATTTTCTGAAGTTCTTCAGTTTGGTGATTGAATTGTAAACCTACTCAAAAGCACATTCATGGCATTTACAGTAATATTGAGTTACTTTATTGCTAAATAATTAGCAGGAAAACAGCTCAGCGGAACAGAGAGGAGGAGGCTGTTTTAACTGACACGTTTCCTCAAGTCAGCAAGTTCTGAATTCACCATAATCACTGTGTGTTTCACTTTTAATTTTTTATTTTATTTTGCCCTTGCCTTCCTTTGTTTTCTTTCCTTTAGCGTCACTCACCTGTCATGTTGTAATACCTTAACCTGGATAATAGCTCAACATGATCAGCATGGCTAATCTCACAGCTCAGGTGCAGCCAGCAGGACACACGCAGGCACCAAAGTGCTGACTAGGAGCATAGAGAGTGGGTTAAAGAACAATCAGCATGACTGACAGTGGGATTTGTTGTTGTGCTAGTGGCCTCTTCACAGTTAATATACTGTTTTATGATGGAACCCAGCAAAAAGGCAGCAATGTATGTCTATGTCTATGTCCCACCCAACTGACAATGACATCAAATCTATTGAAACTATCCCGTATGACTTGGATTGCTCTGACAATGCAGTGGCAAACACATGCTCTCTTGTCACAGTGTCTTGTGCAAGTTGGACTTTTTAAATAGAAATCTAATCAGCAGTTTCATCAGGATGCCCACTGTGCGGGTACATGGCTTTAAAAGAGGCTGAATGCCAGACTGGCAGACAGCTCCTGTGAATTAAAGTAACCATCCTTCAGTGATTTCATTTGCTGGTTGCCTTGGTGACTCATGTAAAGCAGTCAAACACAACAGCGCAGAGGGATAATTTGATCATTCTTGACCTCTGGAGTGTGGGACTGTGGAGAGAAGAATATGAATTCATTGGCTGCATATCCTCCAATAAGGCCAATCAAATCCAGGTATGCAAAATTCACCGCAGCTGCTCAACAGCGTCTTCCACTTATTCACATGCAGTCTATCTGGACTGCGTATCAAGACCATCTGATGGATTTATTTTATGTTTATGTTGCTGTGGTTTCAGCTTGAATGCCAGATACCATATGCAAAAACAATTAACATGCCCAGAATTCTGTATATTGCTGGCATTCTGGCACAGTAATTAAAGAGGCACTCCACCAGTTTTAACAAATGAAGATCTGTTTACTTATCATGGGAAGTGCGTTTCAGATATTAACCCTGGTGATGTCATCGGGGTAACATCAGCACAGGCTTGGAGTCAAATTTATAAGTGGAACACTGCATTAAAAAAAACACTGGGATTGTGGAGATTAAAAGAAGTGAGCGCTTACCACACAGGGATGTTCTTCCAAAAAATTATAGCAAACTGCATTATGGGAATTGAAGGATCCAGTGTTTCTGGAGTTTGAGCAATGCTAAGGGCCAAAAATCAGGACATCACTGCCTCTGTCTCTTAAATTTTTGGCCATTCATTTTCAAATCGGTCTCTCACATTCCCACCTGTATGTTAGTGCAATATGGCCAACTTGTTAGCAAACTGTTCCTTATTTACACATCCAGTCATTACGGAGCAACATTATCATTTATTCTGAGTCGTTTTTGTGTCCACCTGATGAATATAAAGTCCAATTTTCACTCTCTTTTAGCTCTGCTTTGGAGAAATATTTGCTTATTTAGCTGCTAAATGATCCATAATGTTCACCAGCTAGTCACTAACTATGTCTGTCTAAGCTTTTCTGTTGTTGTTGAAAACAGCGGTATAGCCGCAGAGTTGGGGGTCAATTCTCTGTAGGTTCATTTGAACCCCCCCCCCCCCATATTGTCATAAAACATTCTCATTAGAGCTGCTTTTAAGGAACAAGTTGACATTTTGGGTAATATGATTAGGCCTATTCACTTTCTTGCTGAGAGCTGGGTGAGAACAATGATGCCAACCTCATGTGTGCACTGTAAGCTACAACCAGGAAATGCTTAGCTTAGCTTAGCATACAGAAGCAGGGGGGAAACAGCTAGCTCAGCCCAAAACAAGCAACATGTTTTCCACTTTTTTTTTTGCACAGATTGAACAAACAGGATATAATTAGTGAGCTTTAGAGGTGCTGTAGGCAGATGGAGCCAGGCTAGCTGTTTCCAGTCTTTATGCTAAACTGGGCTAACCAGCTGCTGGCTGTAGTCTTATATTTACTGGACTGATATAAGAGGGGATTGATGGTCTTATCTAACTCAAACCAAGATATGAGCAAGTACTGAACTACTACTATAATTGTTTAAGTAAAGGAGATCGATTGACCTATTTTCCAGATTTCTGAGGGTTCTAGGTTTTCTTATGGTTATGGTAATTATGTCACTTATATAAATATCACTCCACGTAGTTAAAAGAAAAGGTAGCAGTTGGGAGAATTACTTACTTTCCTGCAGGGCTGAGATGTGGTTAAAGTGTTGCAACCTGAAACCTGCCTACACATCCACAGTGCTGGTTGTGGAGCTGAATCTCCCTTTACAGTAAACTAATGTATTGAACCATTTGATTTTCTAAATGAGACAAACACATCCTTTACTAGAAATGTTTGCTGGCACTCAAACCTGAAAGAAGAGCGGCACTGGAATTGCAGTGAGGTGGAAATTAGGGGGTGGGAGCATATTATCAAATGCCATCACTTAGCAACTGAATGTTTCCTTGCTTATGTGCTGCTGCAGTAGGGAATAAACCAAGTGACCTCATCTGAACTGAACTTTTTTTCATGTCATTGTGCAGGTCCACTAGCTGGCAATTCTAAAATATATTTTGTCACAGGAGATTGCAGCGAAGCGAGGTGCTATATTCTGTAATTTACCGGACAGCTTATTATAGCCAAGTAGAGGCACGTATTTACCTGTACTGAGCTTAGAGTACCTTTCAATCAACACACCCGAAAACACTCTTGACAGTAACTTCACAAGCATTAAGGTATCAGTTCCTGATACAATGGAAGGAAGTGCGTCACAGACACACTGTACCTCGAGGCAAAGAAGAATGGAACGCTGCTCGGGTGAAAACAGCAGAGAGAGAAAGGGAAATGTTGGAGCATGTGGTGGAAGAAGTGAACAAATAACAGGGTTGGAGAGAATACAAGACCGCGAGTGGTCGGGGGACTTCTGAGCAGGCACAGAGCGGTCAACACAGCCACCTGCAGCTCGCAAATATACAGGACCCTGGTGTTCCTTCCACTTTTACTGGACTGCTTGTTTTCAGTGGAAGAAAACAAAAGTCTCCCCCCTTCCCCACCAATACCAGAAACCAAGGAAAGGAAAATGTTGGCTGACTGACAAAAATGGGCTTTATATGTGGGTATTATTTTGTTTTGGTCCTTCTGCGTGTTGTTTTCCTTGTCGTTGGCCCGAAACAGTCAAATCAAATAGTGTTTCACAGTGACGCGTCTTAATGCAGCCACAGACACACAATGGGCAAGTTTAACTCAGTCCGTCAACAAGGTTGTCATTGTAATTTATGAGTATGCTGGTCTGAGAGCAGGCTGAGGGCTGTGCAGCCTGGAATGTTAATGGGTTTTGGTTGAGAAACTGAGTTGTCCGGCTGTTATTTGACCTCCGCTGTAAAACTGCAATCCTCCTTCCTACGACTTGAACTAAACCAATCTGAAGCTATCTTTAAATCTTTATCTGTAATATGTGAGGGTTTTTTGTAGTCTTTATTTCTGTTGTGTTTTCTGCACTTCACCAGAAATCACCTGTTCAACTAAAGGTGTGGGTTGGTTGATGACGTTTGTGTTTTAAGGCTGTTGATCTGTTCAGCTAACTAACTAACCACTCATTTTTCTGGAAGCCTGGAAACAAACACATCACTTCATGGGCACCAAAAGGAAGCGGTAAATGTGTTCAGTCCATAAGCATATCTGAACTGGAGGTTGAATCATGCTGACTGTTATTGTAAAGGAAAAAAAACCATGGATTTAAGAAACAGTTTTTTGCCATATTGCTACTGAGTCTCTTAATCAAGCAATGCTGTATTGGAAAACTTCACTTCCTGTTGAAGCTTAGAGAAGATTAGCACTGTTGGCTTGTTTTTAGATGCAATCTTGCATTTTTTGTGTTAACATACAGAATTCTTTGTGTTCAGTTTTATGTGTGCCAATATCTCGCTCAGCCGCTCATATGCCACTGTGAGGCTTATCTTCACTGTAGAATAATCCACATTGTTTTTGCTCTGTTTATCTGGGTCCTCAGAGATAAATCTATGGAGGAATCAAATGGCAGGATATCAGTGTTGTAACTGATGAGTTTTTAGACTAGTCCCACTGTTGCCTCTGTGAAATTGTACTACTGTTATATGTTGGATACCTTAATTACAATTTGAGGCAAGGAAACAAATATGGCAAACTTTTACCAACATTCACTTTATTTTCCAGATTAACATTAATAAAACAAGGGATGGGGAGGGGATTAAATATTTACACTGCATTTTAACAATGGTGAAATTACAGGACATTCATGGACATAAAGAGAATATCAGTACCTACCTGTAGCTGACATTACAACAGCCCATTTGATGCGATTGTGGGGTCGTGCTCTCCTGATGGCATTTCTTTTGTTGTCTTTCTTTTTGTATTGGTTCCCTGATAGGTCTATGTTGCTGTTAACATGCTCCTACACTGTAAAGTTTTGCACTGTTTCAAGTTTTGCAGACTTAATATTCTAAAATATTAACATTTGACACATAGTCAGCCTAGCAATTTACGAAAGTGAGTTATTACAATTTATTTATTTAAGTTGTGCTTCAGTACGTGGGGCCAAAGTTCTGAAAACACACAAGCATTTGTTGTGAAATGTAGGAAAGCCAACTTATACAGTTTACATTTGTCCTTCCACTTCTCTGACTGGCTGCTATGGATCAGAGCAAGACTTGAGAGCATCCAGGTAAGTTTTGATATTTTTTTAGTTTTGAAATGGTGTTCAGTATTCGAACAGTATTAAAAGTTGTATGCTATGATGAATCCATAGATAAGTTTGGAATTATCAAAGACAAGGTGACAGTTACATATTAAGAAAATATTTGTTTGAAGGAAATTAACCAACTCTTAAATGTTTATTCTATTACCGCATTGCTAATTTCTAGCAACTTGCCAACACTATTGCCTTCATCACAGAGGAGCAGACTGGCCTTGCATTGGCACTGTGTGTGCATTTTCAGAACCACTGGTGCATTGAAATTACACTTTTTTGTGAGATTACACAGGACTGTCCTAAGACAAGAGAACTCAACATTTCACCGCTGGTTGTGCCAGCCATTAACCAGCACACTCCAAGACTCTATTGGGCCATGAGGGCGACTTTTCCATCTGAGATGGATCAACTCCTAAACAGACTGGATGAAGAGAGGAATTATAGATTATAGAGAATATTCTAAATATTTTGTATACTGTGAACATGAATGTAAACCATGGATTTAGAAGGTTTGTTTCTCTTCATAAAGCTCCACAAATCATAACATTTTTTATATAAACAATTGATCTCATCTTGATTGAAGGTATTGCTTGTAGTGACAGTCAGAATAAACGAGCTGTACCTAAGGGACAAACAAAAACAGTGACCTAGGTGAACATCTATCAGATAAAAAGATATTTATATTAGGAGACTGCAGCCTTGACGGTCCTTCCCTTGTATTCCTGTGACAGTCAAGAGAAGCTGTTCAGGAACTGTCTTGTGAGTGGTTGTTAGTAACATTAAATGTATCTTTTTATATTGAAATTAAGTTTCGAAAGTTTGTAGTTCCTTCATTGCTACGCACAGAAAAATATAATCAAATTCATAGAATAACTCTTTCTCCACGCATTTTCGAGTAATGGCTTATTCTGAGCCACAGTAATTGAATGACATGTCTTTCACTTTGATTTACTTTTAATGTTTCCTTTCTGTCATCAAGGCAACTGACCCAGAAGAGCAGCAGACTAAAGACCTTATTGTGGGCATCCTCACTCTGTTGGATGATGATTCAGCTCCTGCAAGTGGCGCGTACATTGCTGTTATCATAGAAGAAGACATCATCATTCAAGATCTCCCTGACCTGCCAACAGCATTTGCCTACCTCTTTGGGCTGATCTATGCTTTAAACCTTAAGTATCCAAAGGAACTGAGGTACACATTTGAGACAATTCAGAGGGTTTCCTTGGGAATTGGAATTGATCTTTCTGCAAGAGTCAGATTTCACAAAACCAAAATCCATGCATGAATCCAGTGTGTTCAGTTGTCAGCTGTTAGCTGACTGACAGTTTTGAATTTCACAAGTCCCTCTTGCCCGTTGTATAATAATGTTTTAATGGTTCATATCTTTTTAATGAGATGGATCCCTCTCCACCTCTTCCGATTTGCTTTTCCCCCTCTCTCTCTCCTCTTTTTCTCAAGTTCCCTCTCTCAACGTCTCTTCTCTCACCCTCGTCTACCCTCTTTATCTCCTCCAGTTCTCAAGCTCTATCTCTTCTCTACTCCTTTTCTTTATCTCAAGTTCCCTTTCCACCTCTCTTCTAGACTCTAGTTCTGTGTGCAGTTTTATTTCAACCCATGAGCTACCTCTTTTGGTAACTTTTTGTTTTGTCATGTTGCATATTTCATACTGATGTCGAATACTAATATCGATACTAATATTAACTCCATCTTGGTATGGTCACAACTTCCAGGGAAGTCTTCTTGGATCTCCCTAAATGCTACCTCATTGTATTTTGCTGTTCGAGAGGTGATACATTGTTACAACCCGAGTAAAGTGTTAAGACTGGGATAGATACAGGTTCTAATTTGCTTGGCCTTGTTAAGAATTTGATACTTGGTTTGATAAAATACAAAAACTTTGAATGTGGATATTTGACGTGTAATTATTTATCCATTTAGACGTGTCAAAGTTATTACAATTCAAAATGATAAGTTATTACAACTTGGGGTTGGGTTAAGAAAACTTAAAAGTGAAAGTTGATCAAACTCAAAAGCAAAACTTAAAATGTTAAGTTTAATTTCCCAACTTAAAATTTTATTGAAGTTTGTTGCGTTAAAATTTTAAGTTCTCCCAACTTTTTATTTTTTACAGTGTATAAGATTAGCAAAAACATTTCCAACTTCCTCCATTTTCACACAAAAGTAAAATTTCACACTGAGCTGATAAAATGAAGTTAAAGCAGCTCTTCCCACAGAAAACCAAACTCCACTTTATCCACTAAAATACAGGGATGTTGCTTCAGTGCTTAAGAGTGTACAGTCATGCTAGCGGCTATAGCGAGGCCCAGCTTTGAGCTTTACATGCTAACATCGGTATGCTAACATGCTCACAATGACAATGTAGCAGTAACAATCAGATGTTTAGCAAATACTATTTACCAAGTTTTATCATCTTAGTTTTGCCTGTTAGCATGCTAACATCTGTTAATTAGCACTAAACAAAAAGTATAGCTGAGGCTGATGGGAATGTCAATTTTGGTATCAGCAAAAGTTATTATAATTCACCCTGTGGGGGACACAAATGTCGGTGACAAATTTCATCCGTTTATCCGAATCTATCCGTATGTATGACAGAATTCAATTCTTGTAACCATCTTAGGAAGCAAAGTAGAATTGTCGTTTTCCAATCTCTGAGAGTCAGTATTTATTATTGGCTAACACAGTTCACTTCATCACAGCTGAGAAGTAAAGGATAAAGTGTACTCGGAACATTTATAACCAAGTCTCTGTGGGGAAGTATAATTCTTTAGTATAGCCTACATTGGAAAACAAAAAATATTACTTTTCAAAATAAGTGCACATAGTTCCTTCTTTGATGAAAACTGAAAGATAAATATTGTGTAATATGACTTTGGAACCTCTTAACTATTAGCCCGATGTTTATCAGTGTTAGCAAAGTGTGGACTCTTTTCCCCTTCTCTTAAAAGCTGAGCTAAAGCAGAATCTACCTAACATTTTTTACTGTATGGTGGTCAGGAATTATAGAAATACAGGGCCATGAGTCTGTAGCATAATCAATAGTTTTTTAAAGGGATGTTTTGAAGCTTGCTGCCATGTTGTCAGTCATTTGGAATAAAAATAAATGCATATTTGGGTGGCAGCCAGGGTAGAGCCAGAGATGAGCTGAAGATGTACGAGTAAACAGCAATCACTAGTGATACATGGCGACACCTGTCAATTCAGAAAGACACACGGAAACATTCTTTAAAAACCTAAATGACGTAAAATGGCACAAAGACACATTAAAGCAAAAGAAGGAAAATGGCACAAAGACACATTAAAGCAAAAGAAGGAATCAACTGTGAATCAAACAGTAATTGATCAAACAGAAATGTGGAATTGCAGGGAGGAATGGGAATGAAGGAGGCGTGGGTGGTGGTTTATCTTCTTCCCGGGGTCGATTCCTCTGGTGCGTCCATTCATTCCGGCTCGATGGAGGCTTAATGTGAGTGTGGAAAAGTGGAAAATTTAATTAGGCTGCCAAGGGGGGTTTGTGTCACTTGGCATGAGCCATCCCCCACCCTCTCTACCACCCCACTCTCACTCAACCCTTGCTCTTATCTGATTCGCCGCAACAACCCCGATGTTTGTTCCTCTTTTTGTATTTATACTGATAGTCCTTCGGGGGACATGACCCACCGGGCCAAAGGAGCAGATAGAGGTCAACAGTTTACAGCTGCACAGAGGTTGTGAGAGTGGGGGAGACCTGATGTTGTGGAGCTGCCACTGAGCACTGACGTGTGGATACACTGAAGCAGTGCGGCTGCTATACGGAGAGAAGGGCAAACACACTGACAGCCATTTTATCTCGCTGCTTGTGTGACATTAAAATACGACGCTACCACCACACTACTGACACTCCAAGCTTCATTTTACATTGTTGCTCATATGTAGGTTTTTGGATAACGGATATTGGCTGGTTATACCCAATCACAGTGGCAAACCCACATTTGAAACTGACATGATGTGATGGCAGTTTGTTAGGGAATGTCTCAGCTGGTGGTGACTTAAGTACTGTGTAAATGCAATGCTAAGAAACATCTGTAGTGCCGCCCAATAAAAAGCAATCATCAGTGTAAACAGGAAGTTTAAGAAGGCAATTTATATTCTCCTTTATAGCCAATCTTGTACATGTAGGTTTCGGTTTTATTTACACTTGCATTAGTGGGGAAAAGTTAGTTTCAGAGTTAGTAGTATTCATGCTGTTAAGAATGAGAGGGAAATAACTAATAATGGTAACCTGACCACCATTATTTGGTAATTTAGTCTGTTATTGGCATAACAATTCTAATTTGGAGTATATTGTGTATTGGGAAATGTGATTCAAAGTCTTCTCAGTTAACATCAATATGTTTAATTACTTAGTGTCTAGTCAGACATGTCGACCATATTGCAAATTGTTTTACTCTTCAATTTAAAGTGGTCACATGCTAAGGTTAGTTCTGTAAGTAACCTTAGTTAACTGTGCTAATCCACACATAATCCACATAAGAAACTAGTTTGTGCCATGCGGCCTGCTTGACCTGCATGTGGAATTTAGTGATGCACAAATCTTCACTTAGTAAACACAAACACAGGACAGTTGGTGCAGCTCACACATTGCAGCGCATGCCAATGATCTTAATGCAAGATTTGTTAGATTTTGCTGCTTCATGCAAAGTCAAAAACACGAAAATCCTCATGTTTAAATTTGATTTCAGACACTAACCTCTGCAACGTCATCAATTTCAGCAGCACTGTGAGTGTCACAATGTTGGCTGGACAGAAAACTGTTACCTTTAATTTTATACAGCCCGTGTGTAGGAATAAGATTCAAAGTGCAAGTTGACAGGAAACTAAACTGATGCCCGGGCCGTACTTCATCATGTGGCTGCATCACATCCGCTCAGACTCAAAAGAAAACTTTCCACCAACTCGTCAGGGAACATGCTCATCCCTCACTTCCACCGCATGGATATTTATTTTTCAGAAGTGGGGGAGGGGCAAGGGATGCAGGAAGGGGTGTTGGTGGAGGGATGAAGGAGTCTTGTCACATTACATGTACCTGTCTTTGCGCGTCTTCACTTGCGGCTGTCATCTCACCTGACAGGTCTATCAGTGTCCACGGCTGATCAGAACGCGTCCCGCAGCCTGACAGGCTGAACCAACAGCACGGCAATCCAGACTGACAGCTCCTCAGGTAGCTGGTGGAGGGAGGGAGGGAGGGAGGGAGGAAAAGAGGGAGGAATCAGGGGGAAGGGGGGCAAGACAAAGGCCGCTGAGGAGCAAAAGAACACACACACAACAGTAAACACCCTGAGATAATCCACCCGGCATGACTGATTTAATAATTTCCTGAATTTCACAAAATCATCTGATAATAAAGTGATTCTGAGATAACGCTTTGTAACAGAGCGATTGTTGCCAAACATTACCTTTAAAACCTCCATTAAAGCCCAGAATCCTCTTTCTGCCGAGGAAACACAGGGTGCCAGTTTGAATATTTTTAAGCAAATTGAGTCTCGTCTCACGACAATCAAGCACATTGAACCAAGGCCAAAATGCTTGCTTAACGCAGGGGAACCAAGAGCTGTATTCCAGAGAAAAAACACCTGCGGGATGTGCTTTGCTTAACCCATGAAAGGTTTAAATCAAGTGTCTATGATCACACCCAGGGGAAAACAAACGAGGAGGGAGCCCCCCCCCCACACTGCTCTTTCCCCTCTTCGACAAAAACTGTCTTTATCTTGTCAAAAGCCATCGAAAACAAGCCCAGCCAGAACGCCTCAGCAACACGAAGACAAGACAAAACGGGAAAACCTACAAGCTCCAGAGCAAAGACTCATTTGATCAGCTTAGCTACGCTCTCCTGGCTTCGCATGTACGACGAGTAATTAGCAATTAACAATCAGGGTTTAACTAGATCCAGTTATTATCTGTAAGCAAAGGGGGGGTGGCGGGGTATCTGCCGCTTTGACTTGGAAGTGCATTAGAATTCCCGTGCTACTCAAGTTTGGTAAAAAAGAGAAGAGTGAGGGACCCAAGCAGTAATTCTCTCATTTTCACGACATCTCTGGGCCATTTTTTTCCTCTTCAAATTCCCAGATCAAACAGGCTGTAACAAAAGGCCCCAAATCCCCCCTCCGCTCTCCTCCCTCAGCTCTCTCTTTCCAAAATTAGTTAAGCCTCTCAGCTCCATCATCCTCAACATGGCTCGCATCAACAACCCTACGCTGCATCGCAAATGCTGCATAGCCTCTGAAATCCACCCCTCCTCACACACACACACACACACACACACACTCCTCTTCAACTCCCACCCTCCAAACACGCTGAAGATGGGGGTGGGGGGTGGAGAAAAGTCCCCATATGTCACTCTGAATTTGTACTTACAGACCAAAACACAAAGTACCCCACAGTCACTAGAGTTTGTGATTTCACCCCAACCCCCCCCCCCCTTCCACTTTCACTTGGCTAACTGTTGTCTTTTGTCTTTTCCGGGGGAATATGTTAAGTCAAAAGGCTGCTGCAAAAAATAAAAATGAAGGGCAAAAAAAAAAAGACTCAGGCGAAGCAGATTGGACACGGTGACAGAAGAGGAACATAAACAATCTCGAATAAGGCGGCTGTCCGCATTTACCCCTCTCTGACATATTCAGGCCTTTTGGATGCTCCTTGTTTCTGTCCGATTACCTCATCCTTGCTTCTGCCCCGGCTGTCTTGGTTCACAAGGTGATGATTCAGGATTTTCAATCACGTTTACACACTTTCTCCTCTTCACTATCATCTTTTCATATCCACTCCCCTCGTCTGTGCTGAACTCCCACAACTTTGTCGGTCTGCTGCATACTTTTCTACACTTCAAAAGTTTCCAGCTACTAGCTGAGGTGAAGTGGGGTGAGTGACGCCAAGAGCTAACTCCGGGTTATTGCCCAGGAAGGTGCTCGTTGCTGAGCTTTAAGTGATCCTGTTTCACACACTTGTCAGTTCTCTGGGCTGGCAGGTCCTTGCTGCCTCCAAGCTAGCTGCTTAAAGGGTTGTCACCAGAGCAGTTAATGTTAATCTAATGCTAATATTCATGTTTTCTGGCTCCCTTGAGCTAAGGACACCTGATTCTGGAGCAGACAGGCCTCCATTAGCATCAAGCCTGCTAGCATCCACTGTATTCTCGTTAGCTTGGGTCAGGTTAGTTGTTCCGCCAACAGCAGAGGCTAGGGCGGAGATGAAATTCTTCTCACCTCAAGCCATACAGTGGAATACAAAAATGGTTGAAACAAAACCAAAACACCACTCGATCGCCCATTCATCCTCCGAGGGAAAATGCCCATTGCATCTTCAGTCATTCCTCAAATGGAGTCCCAGTCCAGCAAAGCGTGAACTCCAGGACCACAAAAAAACCCACTCTCATCAATTTAATCATCCCCCGTCCACAGATTCCAAGCTAATTATTCCAGCCTTTAATTATTCCATCCGACTGCCGTTGAGATCTCTTAAAGACGGCTGGATTAGTGGATTTGGAGTATTAGCTTGGAAGGTTGGCAGACCTCTGCACTGTGATTCAGGGGGCTGAGAAACACATCTTCAAAAGGTACCTTGAGCAGCACCTTCACAGGATCATTACACTGGATAAATCCATGTTAAGTTGCTTAAAAGCGTGTAAAGGTGAGCCATGTTTAGGCGCAGACACTTTTGAGGGAGGAGGCTTACTAAATGTGACTTAAGCACTGCAACAGTGACACAGTTGAAGCCACTTCAGAAGGAATTGTTTACAAGTGACTTAAAGGGCTTATGTCAGCTTGGGTCAACATCAAGGACTGAGGGAAACTTCAGGACTGAATACTTTGTTCCAGATTGACAATCAAAGTTGGCAGACTTTACACATTACAATGTCGTGGTAGGTATTCAAAAGGAATGGTTTAAGCTACACCTTGTAAATTGAATCATTCACTTGAATCACTTTTATTCCAATGAACATAAACCCTTGCTTCAGATGTGTTAGGCTTAGGTTCAACACGCGGGGCTAACCACTATGAAATTCCCAGCTATTGATAATTAATTGCTATAGTTTGAGTGTCGTGTTGTCTCGAGTTGACTGTCAAGTCTATTCTTTGCTCATTCTTGTTAAAGATGCTACCCTTCCTTTGGACTCCCCCCCCCCATCTCCAAAATGAGAGCAGCTCGTCCCGCGGCTGACAGCAGAGAGGTTTTGAAAGCAGGTCGGAAAAGGTTAGAGCAAGAAACATGGAGCGGGGCAGTGAAAAAGACAAAAAGAATCTTGCTTTTTAATTATTTTATTAAGAGCCTTGATGCTATTAAATGCCCCAGATACATTCACCCTATAGTTCTCAATTAGACTTGACAGTTGCTGCATTACCAACAATAAATATAGCAAAGGGCTGTGCCTTAGGCCGGGAAGGACCCCTAACTATGACCCTCAAATTTAATGATGAAAACAAGCAAGAGCACACTCAAGCACATGCATGTGCACGTCCATGCATGGACAGACACACACACACACACACACACACATACATCCTCTCCGTGCTGTGGCTCCTTGTTACACAAGCACATTGGGGAGCTGTTAAAAAACAGCATCTCTAGGGTTCATAAATGCATTACAGATTCTAAGGTGTACACATAAAAGTAAATATTTACACATTTAGAGGGCAGTGAATCAATTTTCAACTTTAAGAGTAAAAATAATGAGACTGTGTTCTGCAAAAAGTGTTTCCCTTAAAAAAAATGATAAGAAGACCTGATGAAATGATAAATGATAATAATTTGGCAACACTAGCGACGCAGCCCTCGGGATGGATGTTGGTTGGTCAGTACAACATTTTGATGGATGCCGTTAGATGGACTGCCATTAAATCTAGTACAGGTATTCGTATATGTCCTCAGAGGATCCCTGACATTACCTCTAGCACCACTAGCACGTCAAAATTTATATTTATCCATTGAACACCTACTGGAAGGATTAGCAAAAAACTTTTTTTACAGACATTTGTGGTTTCCAGACAATGATGCCTTATGACTTTGGCGATCCCCTGACTTCTATATATAATAAATAAATATCATGACATGTATTCGATAACCATTTGGGAATTTGGAACAGACATTGATGTTCTGCACAAGATGAATAAATGGTGATTCCCTAGTTAATCCAGTGCCATTGACTATCTAGTGCTTTAGTTTATCCAAATTCCTGCAAAACTAATGACAGCTGATTAACATTCTAATGAAGATGGTGAACATGTAGTTGTGAATATGTTACCATGCATTTACCTCAAAGCACCCTAGTCACACATTCAGACTGTGGGACTGCTGTAGTTTGCCATTGCTGGCCCAGCTTTCCCAGCATAAAGGACTTTATGGAAATCTACTCTGACATTACATGCGTGGCAATCAGACATGAGACAATTGACCCTTCACTAAGCCACGCCCCCTTAGTTACTGTTGCTAAGTCTGACAAACTGTTGGACCTGTCGGACTTTTATCACTGCGCTGCCGCTGTCTCTAACTGCTCTCTCTGGAGAAATATTGTCTAATTTTTGGAAAAATCGATCTCAGAAAGAAGCAGACAGTTTTGCAGTTGCATTGTGCGTTTGAAGGTTGTATTCAGGCTGTCAAACTGACGTGAAACAAATAAAGACAGAAGCTAAACTGCTTTATTACCAGACTATTGAGAAAGAGGACAATGATATTAAGGATCAACACTGTTCCTGTACAGCTGGGTTAAAAAAAAAACCCAGAACAGTAGGGTTATATAACGTTATATTCAGAAGGAAGTTAGCTAGCGTTAGCTAACTAACAATCTACAGCCGACATTTTTCTGGATTTGTTTTAGGTTTTGGAAAGAGAATAAATCGTACTTCTCCTATCAACCCCTCTGGGTAGCGACTGTCATTATTACAAGTGCCGTAGCAACAGCGTTTCACCATATCTTAGAAAAATACATACGAGTCAATGGAGCGCAGCCATGAAAGTGTCCCACCTATGTTAGAGCTAGAGCTATACTGCACTGTGATTGGCCAGCTGCGTACTGAGGGCGTGGTTTAGCAAAGGGTCAATTGAGCTACACAGTTGTTACACCTACACAGTTGTTTACTCCACTGCTCCAATAAATTAAGTTTAAGCAACAGTCTCAAAGAGCTGCTAGCATGGCTGTAGACCCACAATAGCGTCTTTTTGTATTTATCATAGCTACGAGCTAACTTGTAAATAACGTTCATGTCAACATCTAAGAGGTGAATGCGACTGACTGATTCTTCTCCGACTACCTACGATTTGGTGCTGATCATTTCCAAAACAACAAACAAAGACAAAACAATGACACCCTGTCAGGGGAAACAGACTTTTACTGGAAAGAAATTTAGACAAACCATATTCTTCAGTAACTTACACGGTCAACATGTCAGTAAAAGACTTCGTAGGCCTTTAAACAGTCAAATGGAACATACAGACAAATAAAAGGCAAAACTATTTGTAGATCCTTTTAACATTGGCAGCGGAGCCAAACTTGACATTCACTTGAGTGACAAAGACAAACAAACAGTAAACAAAGGTGTTGCATTGTCCATGCAGCTCTTTGTGATTTACATCTAGTTAATAGTTTATATGTTTACATGAACATAGCACGGCAGCTCTGGATGGAGTGTTGCGAGCTCAACCCTTTGTTTATGACTTTATTGGCAGAACACAAATAAACAATTCTAGATATTGTTAGGTTAGCCGGACAGATTGGATAGATTGTTACATCAAGGTCCTATCAAAGTTTGGAGATTCTCTTCAAAAAAAAAAAAGGGCCTTTACTGTGAGCCCGCAACAAGCAAGAAACAATCATCATTTCAGCCCGATCCCACAAAACTAAAATAAAAAGTGAATGCATTTCAGAGTCTGTGTGCAATAAGCACACTCATTCTCACAGTACAGTGCATTTCATAAATGGTAAGTCTGTGCATACTCATGTACAGGTACACAATGGCATGCACAAACACGCACTCACATACACACTCCCAGAGGCAGCTCTCCGGGCATGTCATTAAGCCAGAGAGTACTAGAGTTTCCCGTTGGCAAAGGCTCCCTCTTGGAACTGAGGGATGAAGCTCTTGAAGTACGCCCTGAGTGAGAGACAGAGAGAGAGAGAGAGAGTTTACAGCAAATAAAACATCAAAATGTGACAGCAATTGTGCATCAGCTGCTTCAAAGCATCTAGCAAATTCACTGGGTCAGTCCCAGCATGTATGGGGGTGCAGATGAAAGGCGTTATGTGTTTACTTGTTACAACAACTTTACATGCGATATCTACTCTCCACGTGTTTACGCTCTTGAGGGAAACGCAAGAGACCTAACAAAAAAATCAAACCACATATTCAGGTCGTGCGTTTGGTTGTGTGTTTGTTTTAGGTTAGACTGAAAGAACTGTTTTGTGTGCTAGATGAGATTGATACCATTGTCATATATGTTGGTTCAATAAGTCTACCAGCTTATTGTGCTTACAAGCTCAACTCGCTTTTCGTGCCCCGTCCTCTGTTTTTCACTGCAGATATGGTACCCCCACAGTGTCGCTGGTTGTCAAAATGCCGCCGCACAAAACTGCCGCGATGTAATCTTCAATGCGACCCACACACGGCACACACTTTAATAATAATAAAGTACAGAGGGTACTCTTATAGCTTAGCATTAGCTTAGCAAGACTGGGAGTACGGGGACACAGCCAGCCTGACATAGTTCACATAATCTGCCTACCAGCACTCCTAAAGCTCACTAATTAGTGAGTTTGACAAATTATTAGTAATTTGCTGAGCCAAAGCTCTTCTAGTCAAATCCAGGAACTAACAGGCAGGAATCCAAATAGGTCTGATATGTTTTTGTGGAGATTTGTGTTAGTAAAGATACAGAGATAAGATATGAGCAAACCACATTTATGGCCTTCTGCATATTTGTAGTCACTCAGCTCTTTCAAATATTTACAGCAGTTATTAACCTTTGCCATGAAAAAGAAGACGCTTTTCAGGCTGTAGCCATCCCCTATAGATTTACTCTGAGGTCATACCAGTTTATGTTTACTGAAGGAGGAGTAAAATCTGGAATAAGGTTTTATTGTATCATATATCTAATGTAGATCATACATGATATTCATCATGATAAATGAATTTGTATGACTGGTCTGTTTCACTGGGCATTACATGAAGAACAGTCCTTAAATGCACTTGACTTTGTGGAGAAGGGAGTATTTCAAGAACTACCCACTTGGCCCTCTTTGCCATCTCATTGCCGTCCCAGCGAGGACTGTAGGGATACGACTTCTGCACCTGAGAATAGAGCTGACCGCTGTTGGTGAAGTGGTACACGGACTGGAAGGTGAGGGTGGGCTGGTCCCTGGGGAAGTACAGCGGGAGATCCACTACAAGGAGCAGAGGGACAGAGAGAGAGAGAGAGAGAGAGAGAGAGAGAGAGAGAGAGAGAGAGAGAGAGAGAGAGAGAGAGAGAGAGAGAGAGAGAGAGAGAGAGAGAGAGAGAGAGAGAGAGAGAAATGTGTAGAAGGAGAACGAGAAAAAAAAAAGGATCATAAGGTAACTGCATCAGGTGTGATCCGGGCAGATCAGAAACAGACCCCAGTATGCGGCTGTGTGTGTTTTGTGACTTTCCTACCGTGTACTAGGAAGCAAAAGTCCTTCCACATAAGTAGAAGAGTGAGTTTTGTGAATCCCTCTGCATCATACTCCACCACGCCCCTGCAATATACAAATATTTGTTTCTGCAAAGTCTCACTGGGTCTCATTTTACACCCACAGTACTTTCTTGTTAAAGGACAGGGACAGTGACATATAAGTGACTACTGAACACATGAAGTGGTCCTGCCTTGTTGACTCACATTCCAAAGTGGCTGAGGAAGGCAGCGATATACTCTCTCCTCTTGTGATAACCTTGGATGACATACTGCACCTAGAGAGAACAAAATGAAAGGTTTAGTACACACAATGGAACTGCTAAAATGCACAGCAACAGCAAAACAGCTTCTGAAACCCAAGCGGTGATGTAATGTATAAGGAGAAGTGTTAAGATGTTTGGAACAAAAAACAAAGAAACAAAAACTAAACAGCATGTGTGACTGTGGCATGTATTTGACTTTACAGTTAAAGGGTATCTGCTTAAACCAGGAAATAAAAAACGGTATTGCTCGATTTACATTTAAGATTAATGTAAAGTACACATGTGTTCAAACTAACTTGTTTCTGATCGAAAGCGAGTTGTTTAAGGTTTTGATTGCCCCAGTGGTGTGAAAAATTAAATAATAAATTGTATAAAGACTCCAGCATTATCATATTTCAGGCCAACCTACTGTAAATCTGTAAATTCAAATCTAGACTGAGGCACACCCAGAACTGAGTTTGCAATGTATACGAACATGTGCCAAAGGTCTGTGCTGCGATTCACAGTACATCCATGGTTCACCAAGTTCACTGCTGTAGGGTCTGAATATAGGCCAATGTTTATTATGCTGGCAAACAACACATTATGCACCGCATCATGCAAGTAGGTTACAGACAGCAGATATCAAGCAACACCTGAGCAAAACCATATCATATGAGCGTGTTTCACACTCATACCATACCAAACAAACGATGTGAAATACAGCCAGAAGTTGTGAGCGGCGGCAGTGGCTGTATGACGAGATCTCACCAAGAAAGTGATTGGACCATTTATTGCAAATCCAGTTTTCTGTAAGAAATTATAGACTGAGTGAACCTACGATGAATAATCAGGCTGGAACGACACGTCAGAATGATCCCAATTTTCACACAAATATGACATGAACACTAGGTCACTCCCTTAAAAGGAAAAGTAGCTAATAAAGAGAGACAAAGAGTCGAGGAATTATTTTCAATGGACTCCTTTTTAAAAAAATAAATAGGGATGCACCGAATGTTCGGGGATGCACTGAAATTAATTCTAATTTCTGTCACTCGTTTCTGAGAAGGCGATTAAGCTAGCCGCAACTACATTTGGAGTGCACACGTATTCAAGCATTTATGCTAAATCCACTGAAACGGACCTGAGCGAGCTGACAGGCAGGTTAGTGACTTTATCCTGTCAGTTTCTCTCTTTACAAAGACAAGTGTTGCAGTATGAGAGTCCTACCTGAAGAGAGGCTGTGAAGTCTTCATGTTGTGCAATAAGAGAACCACATGCAACACTTTTTATATACAGTCTATGATGCAACATTATTTATCATAATGGGTCTGACTTGATGAATTTAGCACGAGGAGGATACACATGTGACAATGTCCAGTTTTCAAAATAAGGCGTCTATACAGAATGGAAATAAGATAAATTGGATTATATTCACAGAAAGTATAAAACATATTACATGTGTCCATTAAAAGTACATTTCATTTTGGTAACTGTTGTTGATTTAAACAGTTCATAAGGGACATCCAGTATATTATTCTAGACTCCATCAGCTTGTCTGTCTAAAAAAAACATATTGTCATATTGTACTAAGGTAATACTCTATATAAAAAAAGGTCTACTTTGCTACTCTGTATTAGCACTTGATGTCAACCCGCAGGAGATCTACATATAATGTAGTTCATAAAACCTTATTTACTTGTATTCAATGTTATTTTAAAGATGCCATTATTTGATAGGTGATTGACAGAGGAGGAGATGACATGTAAACTGGGGACATCATGATTACATGTCTTTGACCCCTTGCAGCAACAGTACTTTTGCATATCCTTTTAACTGAAGAATATTGTGTTTATTGTTTTTAGTCTCATTAACTGCATTCCCCTTTTTATTCCCCTCAGCTCCAACTGTCCAGTCCACATGGTTTCAGGGTTTTTCTTGCCCTGAATTAGGCCCTAATAGGCAGAGCTAACTCTCAGCCTCAGAGGAAATCCTGCCAGTACTGTACCGCTGCTGGCAGAGGCTTTTCTGAGAGATCCTACACAGAATGTAAACAATTAAGAGAAGTGTACTTTTAAATGGTTGCTTTCACTTTAAAACCAGACAGCTCAGACTAGAAAAGCAGTATTACATGCAATCTTTGTACAGGCATATTTAAATGTCACTGAATTACAAAGTCTTTAGCTTACCACTTGACAGCCAAATAAGCTGGTGTTAAAAGCTCTACCATAGAGTCTGTCAAATGTAACCAGAAAATAGTGTCCGCTCAAGGTGCTGTGTTAATTTTAATACAGTTTCTCCGTTTCAGTCAACGTTTTTATATTGAGCCTCTACATTATGTTTTTTCCTACTAAGATCTTTATATGGAAACTGTTGAGCTCCAGGCATGTTGAGCAAGCTTCTGCATCATATTAGAAAAGAAGAAAAAGGCTTTCCAAATCCTGCGTACGCGACCCTGTACGCAGGATAAGTGGTTGACGATGGATGGATGGATAAAGGGGACAACCGTTTTTGTAATGGGTCCAGTATTGAGCTAGAGCGCTGCAGCCAGCAGCCACGGCTGCAATGTAATCCTTCGGAGCATCCAAGTATCGCTCAAAGAGAAGTCTCAATCTGAAATGTCGCAGGAGGTGTTGCAGGAAGACAACAGAGGAGATTTGAGTGATATTTGGAGAGAGGAGTACCGGAGAGAATTTGTTGTATACAGAAGAACACAACAGAAAGTGTACAGATGTCATGGCTGAACACTAAAAGACAATGTGGATGAGGCTTGTGAATTTGATAACTGTCCGTATTAATGTGAGCCAGAGTATACAGATGAAGAGCTCCTACAAATTAGAGTGGATGAGGAAACAGTGAGAGGGGCAACAGGCAGAGGAGGGTGAGGCGAAGCCAAGGAGACCGGTGTATGTTGTAGAGTGGGACCAGATCAAGCAACAGGTAAAGAAGAACTTTTTATTTTTCTGTAGGGTACATTGACGGTGTGCTATTACCCCCAAGGATTATAATGCAGCCCATTTCATGGCTGCCGGCTGCGGTGGTCCCGCTTAATACTGGACCAAGTCAAAGAATTGTTGCAAATGTTTTGCTCTGGCAGATGCGTCTGATGGACTGGTTTGATACAATGACAGACAGAGGAGCGCCGTTGAGCCAACCAAAATGGCTGTCGCTAACGTGCAGCTGTTTTGGTTGAATCCGCTATCACGTCAGTTTGGACATGGTAGAAACATAGTGGAATGAATGAATGACTAATTTGCATTTGTGAATCGGACTGGTGATGGAAGGCTACACTTCGAGGCAAAAATATGGGAAAATAGGGTCCAGGTGGAAAAATACCAAATTTTCCCTTTAAGGTAGTGTCTACACTGAGTGTAACACCCTAAAGCAACTGCTACTTATTCGCAATGATATCATGAACATGCTCCACAGAGCAGACAGACAGGCCCCAGCTGGCACTTTTGCTGAGAGGCAACAGGGTTTCAAAAATACACGAGAGCATATGAAAAAAACCACCAGTGAGTGAGTTGGGGGGGGGGGGGGGGGGGGGACGATACTGAAAATTCCCAATAAAAAAACAAAAACAAAAAAATAAACAACTCCACATTAATTTTCCAACACATGCACACAGGAACAGGTTCTTCTCTTGTGAGCACATGACCAACATGTTCTTAGCGCATGTTGGCAGGTGTGATTACTGATTATCTTTAAGTCCAAAGAAAAAGAGGCTCAGGGCTCACTTGACTGTTGAGCATCCTGGGCAGGTGAGAAAGCCTGCAGTTAGCCAGCCAGCCAGCCATGAAGGTGACCTTAGCAGGATGGTTATATATCACTGCACCTGTTATGCTGACAAAGCTCAGGTTACTGAGCATCACAGAAAAAACCATCAGCAGAATTCTGTCTTACAATTGGACATCCACACTATTTAATCAAAGGTACATGAACAAAATACAGCAATGTGAAATCCATTTCACCACACTAGTGGGAGCATTAAGTTATACACAGAGTTGGGTTGGCTCAAATTCCCAGTTGGCGAAATATTCACTAAGCAACGAGGCTAACACATCATTTATCGAACCTTTTTCTCTCGACATTCTTAGATGCGCAGAGCAACGTACAAAACATTCAGGTGGCAGGCTTATTTTTAGCCCGCGCCGACCGTAACCCTCACCAGCTAAATGACAATCATCATCAGTGACAGACTGTGTCTTTTGGTTAATGCACTTTCTGCAAGCTGGTGTCAATATTCATTTTTAAAAAATCACTCTGTCACAACACCGCACAATCAGGATTGGACATAAAGACCAGCTGAGTGGTGACTCTTCTCCAGAGAAATCACCTTACTGATCACAACACGTCAACCTGAACTGAATCAGAGCCTCTAAAAATATCTATGGCTGCCAATAATAATTGTTTCTGGTCTAGATCTTTCAGTTTAGTTTGTCATAACTTTAGGTACAATTAACCTAAATAAATAGATTAGGGATTCAAAAGGATTTGAATTTGACCCGGGGATTCTGCACTGGTTTTTGATTCAATACAACTTTATCAAACCCCAAACTGAGTTATTCGTATATTTGATGCACACATTACATTGATAAATTATGATGATTATGTTTCCCGTGACAGAAATGCTATCACTATACTGTGTGATTTATGAGCCAGGACTTTCCATAGTGTATCATACTGTACTATTACAGTCCTCTAAATGTAAACTTTTGGAAAGAAGAGTAATTTCACGGTTCACATATCTGAAGGCATAAACTGAGTCTCTGCTCCAGCAAGGTGAGAATAATGTTATAATATAATATGATAAAAGGGGCAGGTGCATCTATAATGCAAACTAAAAGTCTGTTGCTGGTATTGATCATGTGCCGTAAGCAGCCAAAAACATGTAGTAAGTGTGTGCAGTTCAACTGAGGACAGAATATATCAAATAAAGCTAGAGACAGTATTGCCTTACCCACCGCTACTGCATGGGTGTGATTACTCATCAGCCATGCATGAATGACAGCATTTTGTGAAAGAGGAAAGTA